CATAACATCCGTCGTAATTTCACAGCTCAGCAGCCAGCTCTCGTTTAAGACCTAGTAAATTAAAATTGTCAGGTGGTGGTATGGCAAGAGCAGTATCTGTGACATCCAAAATAAGTTTATAGCACTTATGTGCATGGGGTAAAGTGGCGTGTTACTGTGGACCTATACAGCCTGTGCTCCAGCTGAGCGTGCTGGAGCAGCGAAGGGCCCCGAGGCACCACCCACCAGTGCACATACAAGGCTTTTGAAATACCCCCCATCCCACCAGAGAAGGAGTGCTGCTCCAACCAGCCCAATGCAGCATTACATAACCCGCCTGCCTTCTATACAGCCCATCACTTCTGCATGCACGACTTCTCCTGAACATGCACTACTGCCAGGCTACTCATTGTGACAGAATTCTATGACTGTTCAGCTTCAGCTTAGGCCCATATTTTGTTTTTGTTGACCACCTGACTCTAGGAGATACAAAGAGCGCTGTTTGAATGATTTAGTGAAAGTTGCTTCACTGCTTTATTATCATTCCTTACCTCGTAATGAAAGTGTTTTATAATAGCTGCTTAAATTGGTATAATTATTTTGTAACATGGAGCCGTGCCTTTTATTGCCTGTAACCATCACACTTCTGTATTCAGTTCTAAAGTTTTAAGTTTCTTGTCACACATGCTTAAATCTAATATCTTGTTCGTTTGGTATGTGTAGTGAAGGACCTGATCCACTGGCGGGACCCCAAGAAGTCGGGCGTGGTGTTTGGAGTGTCCATGCTGCTGCTGCTGTCGCTGGCAGCCTTCAGTGTCATCAGTGTGGTCTCCTACCTCCTCCTGGCTCTGCTCTGCGTCACCATCACCTTCCGCATCTACAAGTCTGTGGTCCAGGCTGTGCAGAAGTCCAACGATGGGCACCCTTTCAAGTATGCATTTATTTTGTTTAAAAACACAGCGTAGTACTATAAGACCAATGTCCCCAGTGTGGAGAGTTATGTGAAGGAACTATTTCCGTAACCAGCTCCAACTAGTGGGAGGTCACGAGTGTCATCAGCTGAGTGACCTTAACCTCCATTCCACTATTTACTGACTGCATGTTATGGTGCAGCCAGATCCTTTTAAATTAACAAAGATTCAAAAAGGCAAAGCTAAAACCTGCTGTTCTTGAGAGCTTCACTTAACACTCAGGGCACCTCACCCACAATTATACTCAAGTGCTTCCTTCTGTGCCTCTTTGAATGAAATGGTCAGTATTACTGCTAAAACATGCCGATATTGTGCCTGTCATTTCCCCTTGTTTGTTTTGGTTTGCTCTGGTGCCCTGCCTTTGGCTTCTGCCCAAACAATAAAACTGTCCAGTGATTGGACTGGTCATCCTGTGGCTCAAGGCCAAACACAGATACAGGAAAGATACAAGATGGATTCTCATGAGTTTATGAACAAAACAAACAAGTTCGTCAACAAATATTTCAGGAATTCATCCTGCTGAGTCATTGGCCAACACTCTTTAACTTCCTTACATGGATTAAACTGTGACTAATGCTGATGTGTACATTTTATGTAATGTAATTTAATGTAATTTTATATGTGTGTGTCTTTAAAAAGCACAGTATAATGTAAACTTTAGTGACTAGTCTTTTTATTTTAGTCTAGTTATTTTACATTGATATGTTAACGGACCTAAATATTATTATTATTATTATTATTATTATTAGCTTTATAGTTGTTGCTTCCTTTTGGAAGTGGTGCTAGCTAATGTCCTGCTCCTTCTGCAGATCGCTTATAGAAAAGGATGTCGGCATCCCCCCTGAGACCTTCCGCAAGCACGTGGACGCCAGTCTGACCTACATCAACCGAGCACTGAAGCAGTTGAGCCGCCTCTTCCTCGTTGAGGACCTGGTTGACTCCCTTAAGGTGAGCTCTGGAGATGGGTCATTTTATAAGAAAGAATCCTGCTAGTTAATGATTTAGCTCAGAATTATCTCTCATTCGCTGCTATGATACCTGTAAGACACCGCATGCTGTCACGGAAGAATTTGATTTGAATGACTTGACTGCTGGAGAGGCACAGTTGTACCCCGCCCTGAACAGGTGCAACAAAACTAACAGGTGAATCCAGCAGTGATATCTCTGACAGTTCCCATGGGCGGGTCATGGGTGTGTGTGTGTGATTTTCTCTTACTCACTTGAGTAAATCATCCAGATGGTTTCCAAATATTAAAGGGAGTGGTCATTTTAGTTGAATATATTTTCTAGTCACATTAAAGTTGAATTCAAAAAATGCTAAAACAGATTTTTAAATGTTTCTAATATTTTCTCTGCCTTGTGTGTCTTCTGTGCAGTTGGCTGTTGTCATGTGGTTGCTAACCTACGTAGGCGCAGTCTTCAATGGAATCACCATTCTCATCCTGGGTAAGAGCCGAGGGATGTCTTCAACAGTGCATGATGGGATATGACAAGGGTTCTAATTTCCTCAGTAGAATTAGCAGTACTTGTAGTTTTCCTGGGGAATGAGGCCACAGTGAACATGAGTGATGTGCAGGGGGCCGACAGCAGGGCTCACACTCTGCTCCTATTGGGGCTTGATGGTCAGTGGCTCTAAAGGTCCTTAATTAGGTCGTCGAGATTCTATCTGACTGAACCTACTGTTATTCTTATCAGGTCCTCCACACCACAAATCTGGTCAATAAAACAGTGTGGTGCTGAGGTGTGAACAGCTGCAATATCCCTTCACTTGTTTGTAATTATTTTATAGCGCGGTCCATCTTTGTAGTTTATTATAAGGGTCAGTGTCACACTGTGGAGAGTGTATTTGTTAACTCATGTATGTCATGCCCCTGACCTTATATACTGACATGTTGCTCTTCCCGTCCATAGCTGACATCCTCCTGTTTGCGGTGCCTCCCATCTATGAGAAGAACAAGGTGAGTGTGCAGAAACGCTGCTGCCATCACGTGATCCAAAAGCAGTGAGCTCACTGATGAGTACAGCCTTCATCAGACACTGAGGCCTTTGAGGCACAGCTGCTCAACATGAAGTCATCACAATATACAGGCAGTGCAATGTGAGGAGGGTGAGAGATGTTGACAGAAATGACAAAAAATATCACTTTTACAATTTTAGTTTTACAGTCCATCAAAGATTTGTGTCGAGTCAATGGTCCTCAACTTTTTAGCTCCACCGGTTTTATGTCCGACAATATTTTGAGGATTGGGGGCTGCAGCGGCGTGGCATGGTTTAGTCCTGGTTTAGACCTGGTTTTAGTCCTGATTTAGACCTGGTTTAGACCCATTTTAGTCCTTATTAAATCCTGGTTTTAGTCCTGGTTAAATCCTGATAAAATCCTGTTTTTGGACCTGGTTTTGGACCTGATTTTAGTCTTGCTTTTAGTCTTGCTTTTAGCCCTGTTTAGTCTTGCCTTTTAGTCCTGGTTTTAGTCCTGGTTTTAGTCCTGGTTAAATCCTGATTAAATCCTAGTTTTGGACCTGCTTTTAGTCTTGCATTTAGTCCTGGTTTTAGTCCTGGTTAAATCCTGATTAAATCCTAGTTTTGGACCTGCTTTTAGTCTTGCATTTAGTCCTGGTTTTAGTCCTGGTTTAGACCTGGTTTTAGTCCTGGTTTAGATCTGGTTTAGTCCTGGTTTAGTTTAGTAGAGATGCACATAGGAGGGGGGTTTGCGCTTTCGCAGACCGGTACTAGGCCGTGGTTTTGTTTGGTAGCCGGCCCGGGGGTTGAGTACCCCCGCTTTAAGTCATAAGATATTTGTCATGATGAGTGGGCAGCTCAAAAAGAGATTTAACTGTCACTCTTCTTTGAGCAAATTACATGATAATCTTTTTAATTTCTAATTCATTATTTATTGAGAAAAATGTTGAGAGTAATATTGTAGCTCTTGTATAATGTTGTGCAAATATTTACTTGAATCGTTTTCTTTCCTTCAGACCCAGATTGACCAGTACATCGATCTGGTGCGCACTCAGATTAACTCCACCATGGCCAAGTTAGTATTCACCTGCACTCACAACTTTTTATTTTGGTGAAAAACAGCATAATTACCAAATTTTTCTTTGTGCTCACAGGTTGCAAGAGAAACTTCCCGGAGCCATGAAACGCACCAAAAGTGAATGATTGCCCTCGTCCAACAGAAACCATTACATCACCATCATTGTCATTTACCATCTCCATGCATACCTACCCCGGCCCTGGCCCCTCTCTGCCGCGCCCCGCCCCGGTCTAACTCCTCTCCTCTGTACCACCGACCGCCGCCTGTCCCACTCAAACCTCGCTAGCTAGAAAAATCCGAGCTACTCCACTCCAACACGACTGCGCAGCTTAACCCGAGCGTTAGGTAAAGAACTGTGCCTGTGCGGACAGACATGACCGCTCCCTCCTGTGCGGCGGCGTACCACAGGGGAGCGGGCAGGTGGAGTGAACTAGACTGAATCTATAAGCTGGTTTGGTTGTGTACAGTGAGCAGGGGATGGAGGAAGACTGCTTGTCACTCAAAAGCGAATGTCTGTATTTAAAAATTACACATTTCCTTGAAGGTAGACGCATTGGGGAAGCTAGACCAGAGTAAATTAATGTAAAAAAAAAAAAAAAACGAAAATAAAAATGTAACTGATGCTATTGTGACTAGTCTTTTCCTGCTCTTGCTCTGCAGTTATTGGTTAATGTCAGAAGCCGGAATAGGGCTCGCTGTTACCGATTGGCCTGTTGTTTTTGAGTTGTTTTCTTTCATCTTTTTTTTTTTTTTACAGGCGCTTGTGTATAAGTTTCTGCAATGCACTGATGTTTTGTTTTCTAAAACCCTTGAGCAGGTTGAAATAAAAAGGACTGGAACACTGAGCCAGCTGTGATAATTTGGTCTAGTTCACCCTCTTTTTGTATATACACCATTGAAAAGGCTCTGCTGTATTTAACACATTAGCCTTGCTTTTTATAGCCCAGTGTTGAGGTCTAACATTCACCTGTAAATGTCTTGATTCTTCACACTACTTTACTGATAAAAAATGGCTGCTTTCACTCTTATACTAGCGTGGCGTAGTGTCAGTAAGCTTACATTTTAAACAAGAGCTTGTAATTTTTTTCCGAAATGGTCTGTATGTTTGAGATAAGGCACACTCCCTAATGTGTGGTCACAGCCTCTACAAACAAATGTCTACAAACTGCTGACTGTCCGCGTTGGCTTTAACGACTGGCTATTTTGATACAGCTGTATTTTGTTCATTTTTAGTTAATTTATTCTAATCATTTTGCATTGCCACTGTAGGATCCAAACACGCGCTTTTATACGGCTGTACCGGCGTTAGGGAGGACACCTTTTTGATTTAAGTGTAGCTGGAAACGTAGCAGATTTTCGGGGTGCATTTTCATCTAGAGAACCCTTTTGCTTTTGGATTACCACGAACCGCATGTCATAACTGAGGATGGATGCCCCCTATAGGCTTTGTATCATACTCAATTTTTGTTCTATGTAATTATTGTGTGTGTTTCGGTGGTGTTTTGGGTAAAGTCACATAGCACTACTACTCCACATCTCCACGTATGTTTTAAGAGGTGATTACGGAGATTACTTTTCCCATTTCATTGTCTTGTCCAGGACTTTGCGTCGTCCCTTAGTTGAGTCGCAGCCCTACATTCCTTACTATGCATGCTCCTTGTTGCCATCTAGTACATCACAATGACAAAAGTAAAGCAGTAAATATCAGTAATGGTCAGGGTAGGGATGGGCTTCATTTTATAAGTCTAAATACTGCTGAAGCTGCTACATTATATACAAATACAAACAATATGAATTTTGGCATTACTGTTTTGCAATTGTGATTATGCATTATAGCCTATTTAAGATTATAAATAAATGTTCTGTTAGAAAAAATGACAAAGAGTAGTCAAAATATTGGACATTTGAACTGAAGGAAATTCCTGCAGGTTTTAATTTTATTATTTTTTTAAATGTTGATTGAAATGATGATTTTTCAAGTTAATTTTTGGCGCTGAAGGTTGCAGATTGACCAGTCAGAAACCAGTAAGCAGCACGCGCTCCGCATAGAACAAGCACCCTTAGGTTTGCTCAAATGTGCCGCATAAACTCATGGCTACAGTTAAAATAAACTCAAAAAAAGATGCTATTTTTGTTCACCATGACCTCAAATTTCCACGCTCTGACCTGGAGGGCTGAAGCTAAGGTCTGACCTCACTGCTACTGCTGTTGTGTTGTAACTAGCATGCATAACAGTATATTTGAAGGCTTTCTGCAGACTACTGGGACTCAGTAATGTAAAACCTCCATAAAGTCACTCATCTGAAGCATGTCTCTTCCCTCTTGGCCTTTCCCCCTTTATCCTCATCGTGTGCAGGGAGTGTGTGTGTGACTTTTCTGTCTTTGCAAGTCTTACTTTGACTTACTGGTTATCTAGATGGAGTTCACTAATATCAGCTGTTTTGTATTAGCTATGACTTTTGTTTAAAAATTTTAAGCTTTGGGAAAGTTGTTGCAAGAAAAAAAAAGAAAATTGGAAAAAAGTTTGTGGTCTCTGTACTGATGTCGAAGTGAAATTAATAAAATGCGTCAAAGGACCATATTTTGTTGGATTATTTGTGCATGAAATATTAACCCGTTGCTGCTTTATGTGTGGGGAAAACACCAGATTATTGTACAATATTGTCCACATAAATATGACCAATAAGAAGATTTGCCATGCCCCTGTTTTGGTGGAAAAGAGATTATAGCGCTCTAAATTTAGACTACACTACTTTTCAAAGCCATTACAAGTTGGTCACATGCAGATTCAGTGTAAACCCACTGGAGTCTTACATAATGGAATCTTTTACTATACTAAATATTGAATAGGCTTGCTTGTTCTGCAGATTAACTCTTGCCTTGTGCATGTTTGTTTTAATAGTAAATGACTGCATGAAACTGGCTTCACGTGGCATTACAGTTTAAATCACCCATGTCTTAAAGCTGAATTCAATAGAAGAAAAAAAAATACAAATGTTTACAATCCGTGTATCATTCGTTCATTCATTTTTCAGTATAAAACCAAAAATAAGAAAACAAAAAAATAACAATTTTCTTCATTATTTGTCTCCAAAACCAAAATGAAAAAACGGATAATGATTTGTTTTTTCAGTTTTTGATTTTGTGTTTAAATGAATAATGGAAAAAACAAAAAAACAAAAAAAACAGATAATGGCTGTTTCCTGTTTCCGTGACTTAAACTGTGATGCTGGACTGAACCAGGACTAAAACAGGACTAAAACAGGTCTGAACCAGCTCTAAATCAGAATTGAACCAGAACTAACCCAGGTCTCAGTCCTAGTCTCAGTCCCGGTCTGAGTCCCAGTCTCAGTTCTGGTAACACCAGTCTGAGTCCCGGTCTCAGTCCCAATTTCAGTCCCGGTCTGGTCCCAGTCTGGTCCCAGTTTCCTGATCACCCAACAGATATGCAGGCACACGTCCAGGCCAGTCCTCACACTCCTGCTTCAGTCCTGGTTTAGTCCTGGTTCAGTTCTGGTTTAGGACTGAGACCGGGACCGGAGCAGGACTCGGACTGAGATCAGGACTGAGACTAGGACTGAGACCGGTTTAGACCTGGTTTAAACCTGGTTTAAAGCTGATTTAGACCTGTTTTAGTCCTGGTTCATGGAAACGGGAAATGGCCATGATCTGTTTTTTTCCATTATTCATTTAAAAACAAAATCGAAAAATGAAAAAAAGAATCCTTACCCATTTTTTCATTTTGGTTTTGGAGACAATTAATGAAGAAAATAGTTGTTTTTTTTTCGTTTTCTTATTTGTGGTTTTATATTGAAAAACAAATGAATGAATGATAGATGGATTGTTTAGTCCTGGTTCATGGTTATTATCTCTGTAATCACTACACTGATCCACACGAAAAAAAAAAAAAACTGGCTCTAGTGGCTTCACTGTAATTTATTTTACTATGAAAAATTTGTTTATGATGTAGACTTGGTTTGGTTTCAGGTTTAGTCCCAGTTAAGATCCAGTTTTGATGTGATGTGTGCAAGGTCAAACACATCCGTAACCAGAGGTGGGACTTACAAGTTGTGACTTGGACTTGAGTCAGAATTGAGTCACTATTTTTAGGACTTGAGACTTGACTTGATAAAATAGACTAAGACTTGGGACTCGACTTGGACTTGAAGCTCAATGACTTGGGACTTCACTTGGACTTAAATCCTGTGATTTGAGAAGGCTTTCTATTCTGACCGTGATGATTCACACTAAGATCTTGACAAGACATTTAAAAAAGAAAAAATACATTTCTACAACTCTTATATAAATACTCTTATATAAATATACCATGACTTTTTAAGTACAATTTAGTTTAAAATTCATATAAATGGCAAAAATGTAAGGTTTATTTGGTACTTTGGTTTAAAGACTAGAAATGACTTGAAGCTCAAAGGAGATGACTTGGACTTGAACAAAGAAAGTTCAGTGTATTTGGGTCTGTTATTTCTTTCAAAAATCATAAATTGCCCAATAGAGTTAGTCTTACATTTAAATTATATGAAATTATGACATGAAATTGTAGAAAGTCATGAACCCAGATTTCAATTTATTATGGTTAATCCATCCAAATAATGCATACATAATAAAACGCTCTGTTAAATTGGCATTCACATTCTCAAATAATGGTTTCTGATGAGAATGAATGGAGCAAAGGAAGGAAGCGCTTACCAAAAATGGCCGCGAATCTGAGGACAGTTGAGTCCATCAGAAATAGCACGGGCATTAATCTCCAGGCTGACCTCCAGCTGAAGAGTGATTAGACTCCACTTCACTGCTCAAGTGAAGAAGACCCCGCTTTGGTTTTTGGTGGAACATTTCTCATTTTCACCATTACTTGTGCCCATCTCACTGGAAAAACAGGTAAGTACTCTATAAAGATATATAGATTTATCTGTATATAAGAGAGGCGCCTGCTTCTGGAAATAAAAACATTTTAACAGAAAGGTAATGGAAACAGTTGTCATATTTTGGTTCATTTTGCATAACAATATCCTCCTGAGACCCGGCCCATTCATCTGTGTCCTTTATAGTGGACATTAAATTAACCAGTCTGTCTTTTAAGTGTTTTGAGACTGACTCTTAATGGGGAGACTAGATTCCTCTGCTTAAATAGGGCTGGGGGATTATAGGGCACTATCATGTCCAGGATGAAAAAAAAAAAAACTCAATAAGAGTTAGTTTGTGGCTGCACTATGATAAAAGAAATTAAAAGGGTGTCTAAAAACGTTTTGAGGCGACTGTAAAAGCTTGTCAGAGATGTTGGTCATCAAAGAAGTTGTTTTTGTTACGTTAACAAATGGATTTAACTCCAAAATGTCCCCGGTGTCCATTACAGAAAACATGTTATAAAATTATAAATAAAAATGAACAAAATGTAAATGCTAAGGTGTTAATTTACATCCAAATAGATAGAAAATCATTAAAAAATATATATTGCAATACACTTTTTCAGGGTCCGAGGGGGATATTTCAGGACTGATTAGAGGTTCACGTACATTTTGTAATAATGGGCCTAATATTGGCCTTTATTACAGTATTTAAATCTGCTACACTCATGTACTACTGGTAGAATATTGCAGACTAGCAGATTAGAGGTGTAACAATAACCAAAATATCATGATATCGTATCGTCAGAAGTGTCTCAATAATATCGAAGGCCATCACAATATATCGAATTACAAGTTTCTTTGGTTAAATTCATTGTTATGGTGCAGCAATAGCTAAAAAAAACTGAGGGAACTACATTGACCATGATCCTTTGCTTCGTTTTGGTGCAAACTACATGAAGAAATAGCAGTTCTAAGCACTTTTAAATCTTAGTTCTTTAAATTAAGTCTTGTCAAGGCATTTTAAGAGGAAAAAGCATCATAATTACAGTTTTGTTGGCCTCCTTAAAATATTGTGAAAATATTGTATCGTGACATTTTGATATCTTTACATCCCTATTCCAGACTATTTATTTTCTGTAGATGATTTATTTTATTTTTGCCAAAATCATTCCGACCAAAACTACAAAAGTTGGTACAGTGGCATTTTTCATTAGTAAAGCTAGAATTGCCAAGAAATGCCTAAGTTTATCTTTCTGCACTGTAAATTTCTCTGATCTGCCCAAAATTTTAAAACTTATCTTTTTTTTTTCAGATTTATTATCTACTTACTAGTTCTGAGATCACTTAATTCTAGTCTAAAAGTAGTTTATTTTAAGATAACTTGTCAAGTAAAATTATCTGTCCATGCAGCAAGATAATTCCACTACTTGTACACCCTAATTTTTCCAGTTATTTATTGCAATTCAAGTCATGCAAGTCCAATGAAGAGCTTGAAATGGTACAAAGGTAAGAACCGAACAGCCAGAGGTTAAAAAAAGATAAAAGGACAAAACACAAGTCCAAGCTCTGCCAAAACTACCTCAGGAAAAAAGAACAAGACGGTGAGCTTGAAAACATGGAGTGTCCAGCACAGTGTCCAGACTTAAACCCCATCGAGCTGGTTTTGGGATGAACTGGACAGAAGAGTGAAAGTCAAAACAACTACAAGTGTCCACACATTTATGGGAACTTCTGCAACAGTCTTGAGAAGAACTTTCTGAAGAATATTTGATTTCTATTATAAAAAGAACGAGCCACGAGTGTGTTCAGCTTTTATATCTGCCAAAGGTGGACACTTTCATCAATCAAAAGTTTATAATATGTTTTGGTCAACAGTAAATAGAAAAAAAATAGAAAAAGTGTGGTGTTCTAAAACAATTGACCGGTAGTGTAAGTCATTTTCTGATAGATTTAGGTGTTTATATCTTAAGCTTTTTTGCAGTTTGGATATCAGGGGTGAAACCACTGTGTACTGGATTTTGTCCTGTGCAAATGAAAACTGATTCAAGGTGAGATTAACAGATTTTTAGGCCTATTATGTAACATGTCTAATAGCAATCCCTGTCTGAATTGATAAAACACTCACGAGATCAACATGCATTTCAAAGCATATTTGTTGTAGTCTAAATTACAGGGTTTGCAGGCTTCCTTAATACACACCAGATGACATAGGCCTATATTTGCCACTCAAATTGTAGTTTGCTTTAATCGTAGAATAATTTCAGCATTATTTAAAGTTCTAAAAGCACAACTCTAGTGGTGAAGGGGAATTGGGAAAAAGAACTGACCAAAAAAATTGATGACAAAGATTGGTTAAAAATGTGGCAACATCATCACACCACCACTTGCTCTCAAACATGGAGGGAGTTTGCTTTATAGACCCTAATTAGGTTTTTTAAAATTACACCTAAACTAAAGAGCAAACAGTTAAAGATGCATCAGATTTGTTTCTTTGCGGAAAGGCAGAGAAATCAATGTGTGTGTCCCTTTGTCACCTGACCTGGTCTTTCTATGCAATTTCTCAGAAGACATTATTCACCAAAGCGATATGTCGGCTCAAAGTGATGTCATTAGCTTCCAAAAAATCAATAACCAGGAACTGTGGCGCAACGCTACAGTGCCCTCAAAGGATCAATGGACATCTACAGTAAAAGACGTCTCTCTAATGGAAAAAAATATTTCAATAGATTGAGATTGCAAGAAGCACAAATGAAGAAGAAATGGGAAAAATGGACGTTATATATGCAAAATTTGACTATCCTGGTGTCACCTTGGCTCTTGTTCATGTTTTCTGTTTTACTTTTTAACATAACCAATAAAAAACAAAGTAACAAATTGCAGTTTGCTTATTGCAACTGTTCACTTCCAGTTTCAATTCAATTATTTAGCTATGCCATGACTATGAAGCTCCAAAAATTTTGACTTGAAACCTGAAAAAACATAATCAGATCCTTTGTTGAGCCTTTGTTGTTCTGGCTGACAGGTGGCACCAGGTGGACGGTCCTGCTCCTGCCATAGTCCACCTGTTTCGAGCATCCGAGACGGGAAAGAAAAATGAAAGAAGAAAAGATCCTCTATCCTTACACACATATTACATTTCTTTGAACTTAAGCCTTTGTTCATTTGACTGGAATATCGTGAATAATGTATTGGTCTGTGAGATCCATTTTTAGTTCATAAAAAAGTCACACCAAGAATGAATTAATTTTTTATACATTTCTTTATTTAAACTATGGAACTAATAAATTAGAATTCATGCAGCAATGTGTTCATGAGAGGAGTATAACAGAGAAGGAATTACAATGTCATGATTTTTTTTTTTCCTTTTTTTTATTTTACAATACAACACTTGTCGTATTGTAGACTAAGGTGCTGTGTTTTTATTGTTGCAGTTTTGGTTGTTTCCAGATCTATGTTCCAATTTGCATATTATTCAGCGATATAATAAAGTCATAACTGTAAATTCGTAATCTGGCTTTTAATTCATTGTGTGTTCATCCCTGAGTTAGATTTTTTGTTAGTTAGCTTCTCATATTGTTGTTTTTGCATAAACTTTGTACAATGCATGAAAAAAAAAAAAAAAAGAAAAGTACCCATACTGGCGTAAAAGGGTGTAAGAAATATTTGAATGTTTGAAGTAGAAAAACAGAATTTGTGCAGAAAAGTGCTTGTACAAAGTAATATATGTACAGCTGGTCTGTGCAGGCTGTTGAGACCAGAAAAGTGAAGAGGAAAGAACCAAAAATATGTAAACAAATATTAAATAGGTGTCACTGGCCTTTTAAGACCATTCATTGTCTTCAGCAATAACATCATTCAGTTGTAGGTCACAAGGAAAGCTAGGGTTTACTAGATTTAGGGGGACAAAGTGCTGCGTTGTCTTTAGCTAATTCTAGAAAAGAAATAATTTCAAATGTTCCTGAGAGCACAGGAGCTGGAACGATTCAGATACCAGCCCTGTATTATTAATAACATAACAAAAGCTAAAAACAAAACATTTTACATCTTTGAATAAATAGAAAAATGAAACGTATCTTCTATATTTGCATGTCATAGTGACCAAATCAAGAGCGTGAAACAACTGTAGAAGTACGGTCTAACATCTGGATCTGAGCGCACTTTGGCTTGTTCAATGGCAGATAAGCCTTAGCCACATTAACCTGTGACTAACGGTGAATGAGAACTATCGTCGCACAGGTGCATTGTGGGTAATCAGTGGCGGCTTTTCACATTTCTATGAAGCGCAAAGAAGACTCAACTCAAAGATCAGAATCCCCTAAAATGAACTTAGTGCATCACTGCTGTACGTGATTATTGTTCCTGTCAAAATGCTCTCATATCAAGGTGTTGAAGTAACGCAAATATAAATGGGTTCTTTACTTCTCATGTTCATAAACCCCGGTGAATAATATGGACATCTTTCTTGCAGGAATATTATCTTTCACAGTGGGTTGCAGGCATAGACTATGGTTGCAGGCGGTGATTGTATTACCTTTGTTCCAATTTAAAAATGGAATATTGAGAACAACTGTATCTGATTTTTTTTTTTTTTACAGGCAGACATAACCATCTGTTATAAAAAAGCAACCTCACCATGTCAGTAGTTCACCTTAGAGCTTGTTTCGTATCTGAGCAACCCAGATTTGAATTTGGGTCAGTTCATTCACGTGTCTTTTTACCCTGTTTCCGATCTGTCTATACTTTGTCAAATACAGACTCAAAAGTCCCCTAAACATTGGTCTACTTAGTAAATAAGTAATGAATTACTTAAAGGCTGGTCTGGCTTTTCTGTTTCCACTAGCACCACCATAACAACCCAACTGACAAAATAGAATCACTATGAGGGAAATAAGTGCATTTCTGTGCTCCTGATGTGAGGGTTTTGGAGCCCTTTAAGTGCCAAAGCTTTGTGGGTCACTGTACACGTGGTCCAGGGAGATGTAGTCCTCAGTGTTCCTGAAGTGCAGGGCACTCTGGCTGTAGGTGTCCAGGGCCCGCTGCTGCTCCTCGGGGCTGTAGAGCAGAGAGTGAGGGTGCACCTGCTGGATGTGTCTTTTAATGGTGCTGACCTTGAGTGTGGCCAGAGTGGCTCCACACACCATGCAGATGAGGCCGTGCCTGCGACAGTCGTAGTCCATGAGATAGTCGTCCCTCCAGCGGCTTTGGTAGTTGCGCCGCTGGTCCTTCCCTGGGTAGTGGGTCTGTCGGGGGGGCACCCCTTTGCCCGACCCCCCGTGTACGTCATCCACCTCCTTTTTCAAGCGCTTACCAACTGTGGGAGCGTCAGGGGAGCTGTCCTCTTTCGTCCCATCTGGATCCAGGACATCAGTGGTGCCCTGAATAATTTCCGCTAAAACAAAAGAGAGTTGGAATGAGAAAGAGGTTGCACTACAGAATCAGTTTTACAGTGGTAGTTAGTTTTACAGTAACAACCCTGATAAAATGTGCTAAGACTATGTTGATTTTGATCTCCTTTAATACTTAAGACTCATTTCTGATCTTTTCCCTGGACATTATCTGTGGTGGTGATCTAATTACTATATCTGTAGACTGTGGAGACAGCCTCAAACTAAAGGAACAAGTCACCGCTAAAATTAGAACAAATGTCAACAAAGCTCCAACTGATCAAACAGTCAGTCGGGGTCAGTCGCATTTGATTACTTCAGTCATGTTACAAGGTATCACTATATATTTGTCTTATTTAAATAGATTTGTTCATTTTCAAAACTGTTTATAAGAGATTATTTTACAAGGAGTAATTTAGCATTAATTTTATTCCTTTTTATCAGATCAAATATAGTTCATATACATTAAAATAAATTAGCAATTGTTTGGTAATTATATATTCTTATTAAATCTTACAAAGATTTCACTGCTTCGTACCACCAGAGACACCGGGCGTACCACCATTGGTACCCGTACCAGAGCTTGATAACCTCTGTAGTTGATCTAGGAATAAAAGATTGCTAAAATATCATGCAATTAAGAAAACAATCTGTAATATAAAATGTGGTTTCCAAAAGGTGGGCCAGGATCCAAAAGTGGTTCATGGGCAGATCAGACACAGTATCTGGGTACAGTTAATTTGGAAACTACACTTGTTATTGATAAATATTTTTATCTAATGGCTCAAAAATCAAACCAGTTGGGAACCACAGAAAAAAGCTCTAAAATTGCAGGTCAGTTCACTATTTCATTTCATACATAAGCTGAGTGTTAAAGCCACATTGCAGTCTTACCCTCCTCCCCCTCCTGCCCGTCTGTAGAGTAGTCTTTAGTCCAGGCTGCAGCCATGGCCTCCCGCTCCTCCCTGCTCAGGGTGGTGGTCTCGGGGTGAGCTTCCTGGATGTGGCGTCGGAAACTGCTCACCTTGGTCTCGTGCAGAATCTCCGAGCACACCATACAGTACGTGCCCTTACCCTGAGGCCCATACGCCACCAGATAGTCCAGTCGCAGTCGCCACGGGTTACCCCCACGTAATCGAGCCTTTCTGGGCTTACGTCCACGTTTGGTTGGAGCTTGAGGTGGAGGAGTTATTTGCGGCGCTCCGACTGCCCCATCCTCTCCTATAAGACAAGTGCCCTGAGCTGAGCTGCCATCTTCCTGCTGGTGCAAATTGGACTTGACCGAGAGGGGCTTCTCATCCTGAGCAAAAAGGTCCTCGGTAGATTCTTTGGTGGTTGTTTCTGATATGTTTGGGTTTTCTAATTCTTCTAAAAGACAACAAGAAGAACACACATCAGTCCTTTCACTGGCTTCACAATGGTAAAAAAGGTTTATTCAACATCTAATTATTGTTCTCCAAGGAAACAAACAGGACAAAAACTAATTGTTCAATTAGAAAACATGCACATTATACTCACAAAATCAAATTTTTACTGTCAATATTAGCTCAATATTTTATGCTAATTAAACCTATATATTTTATGTTGATGAAACACACTGTGTTGTCTCACCGTGCGTTTGCGCCCAGGCCTGCAGGATGCAGTGCTTTTCCTCAGAGCTGTAGACTAGAGAGCTGGGGTGTGTGTCCAACACGTGTCTCTTTATGTGCTCCAGGTGAAGCGAGGGCAGCTCGACCCCACACACCATGCACTGCAGCCGGCCTGCCTCACCATCGTACTTCATGAGGAACTCCTGTCTGAACCAGGCATGCAGGGAGTCATTCAAGTACTGCTCCAGAGTCTGGGCTAGCGGGTCGGCTGTGTCCTGCTCCTGTTTAGGCTGGGGCTGGGCCTCATCCTCAGGACTGGGTGACTGGCCGGAACACTGTAAGGACAAGTCCTGGGAGCAGTCCTGTGGTGTCCCACCATCCAACACAGCTAATGGATTAAACAATCAAGTTATTATTATTATTACTATTATTCAAAAGACATGTCATTCTAAATAATGTCTGCATGTATGTCAATAACAATAATGTCAAAAGGTCATCACAGGGCCTGGTTGAAAGATAATGATATTTACAAAATATATTTTGTTGTGTTTATTATGTTATTTATGTTATATCTTGTGCAGGCAGAGTTTGGTCTTTAGTCTATGCCTGCTCACACAGCATTACATCACCCGGCCTTGTGAAACACATAGTGATAGTGCCACCTAGTGTGATATGTGTAGAACAGCAGTACGTACCAGCAGCAGGCTGACTGGACAGAAGCAGCTCTCCCTCTGTAGCTGTGGTCTCTGCAGAGCTGAAGGCCTGACCCCCGGAAATATTCAGGTGGCTGTCCCAGCCTGAGCGGATCACGTCTTTGTCAGCAGCGCTCCACAGCAGGGAGTCGGGGTGCTTCTGTCGGATGTGCCTCTTGATAGTACTGAGCTTCAGTGTGGCAAGAAAGCTGCCACAGACCATACAGACCATGCTCTGCCTCTGGGAGTCAAAGTCCATCAGGTACTCACTACGCCAGTACTCATGATAGTAGCGCCGGTGGTCCCGACCTGGGATACGGCTAATAGTCTGTCTGGAGCCTCTTGGTGCCCTGGCTTTACCAGGGGAAATGGTGAGGAGGAGTGGGTGATCTGGACCCTCTGTGATGCTCCAGTAACTTGTGCCCGGAGATTTAACTGCTGTGGCTGTGGCAGTCTCTGAGTTCTTGTCAGCGTGGCCATTAGCAAGGCAGGCTCCATCTGAAACACCGGATTTGTAGATATAATTCATACATTTAGGATACATTTAAATTCTTAAAGTTTCTTATATTCATTAGGTCTGTTCATTAGTAATAATTAGACAAAGAGTATTAGCAGATCATCTGACAGGTTTGTCTGACTTGTCATCGTGTATCTAAATGCGCTTGTACAGTGCACAGAATGTGGGTCATTTGAACCAATAATCAATGTGGCTCTGGCATTGACCATGAGATGCAGTCGCTAGGTGGCAGTCATGACCCGTGCTGTAGAGCCTTTGTTTATAGGAGCCACAGACATAGGGGCCATGCTGCTCCATGGCATTGTCCCTGACGCGGATTAACTGACTGACAATGGTTGTGCCTTGACAGGCACACACTTTGACTGTTTAACACTGTGTAGTTGAAAATAGTGAGAATTACAACAGTTTACCTTCCAAGTCACTGTCCTCTCGCGTCGCTTCCTCGTCTCCGCTTATTATTAATGAGAGTAGCTCAGCCTGCTCGGCACAGCGGAGATCTACGGGCTCTGTTCCGCCCGTGTCTGCCTCTTCCATTACTGCCAGGCTGCGGCTCTCACAGCGCTTGGGTCCCTCAGTGCTCTACCGTAGCATACCGCCGGAGCGGGACATGTCATTACCACTGAAACATGTCGCTCGACACGCATCTGCTGTGAACAGGCGCTCCACCACGATGTCCCCACACACTAGCGCCGAGGAGCCAACTTAACTTTTCACACAACCACAGTGTGCAATAGAAAGCGCGCCGCGTCACTCCGCACTGTGTGCCAGCGTTTAGCAGGCCTCCTAATGTATTTTAAGGCTCTTGCTTGTCTTCAGGGTGGGGAGCCGTACTAGGGGCCCCTGGGGCTCCTTAAGGGGCTCCTGGGTAAATTTAAAGAGACAGTAACAGCGTCGACAGCGCACACCCACCCCGGGGGGCAGTGCCAACAGCGGGAGCGACTGATAAGCGGCTCAGATAAAGCCGATCTTTCCACGGACAGTATGGAAACACCCTCGGGTTTGTTCGGAAAAGACGAGGTTAAACACGAGGCGGGTCCTCTGTACACGAGGGCCCCATGAGCTGCTGCTGACAGCAGGCCGCATGTGAGGTCCCCTCTGTGCGCAGGGTGCAGTCCCAAACCGCGCTGTAGCTCTGGTAGCAGCAGCCTACGCGAATCACATTTGTACCTACTGCATTTCTACAGGCATCAGAATTAATTCAGAACTATTTGCTAACCTTAAACATTAGCATTAGCACACATCATCTTACCAGGAAGTGATTTTGGACTATAATCGCAGGCTAGTTAAAGGCCTATTCATGTATGGATTACTATGGTTTATGTTGATTTCTGTTTCATTTAGCAAAAACGAACAAACAAGCACAGAGGCACAGGATCAATCTAGCTGAGATATCAAAGAAGTCTGAGGGGTCTGACAGTCTACAGAGCCTATAAATGTTGTTTTTAGTTGACACATAAGTCTGGGAACATGTTTTTAACTGATAAATAATTCTGGGAAAATCACGGAGCACCTACTGTTTGCATCATTCAAGGCCACTGAACTGAACATTTTGCACTTTAAATGTCGCAAGCATTTAGTATGAAATGAGCACAATAAGATTATTGATCACATTTACTAGATCATCATCCATGCAGCTTCATCTGAGATTTTTTTGTCTCATAAAGTTAACCAAACTTAGGGTGACCAGACGTCCCCATTTCCCCGGGACTGTCCCAGTTTTGAGCCCTGTGTCCCCTGTCCCAGCGGATTTATCCAAAACCATTGATTTGTCCCAGTTTTATTTAAGAAATGTCCCTGGTGTCTCTATTTTTAACCAGTTTGGTCCCTGCCAACAGTAAAGAGAGGCATACATTGTCATTTGTTTAGGTAAAATACAGAGAAGCTGCTTAAAAATGTCCAAAACACAAAGAAAATGTGACTCTACTGACACATGTTAGTCGTGAATGGGTCAAGTGCATAACAATTTTCCTTTATTACGCACTCGAGTCACACTTTTATTATTACCAACCACCACAAACCGAGGGTGTCCCAGTTTTTTATTTTGAAATTCTGGTCACCCTAATCAAACTATACGAGCAAGTTTCAGGTGGCTTTGCTTCACATTTGACCTCTAACAATTATTTATAATGCTCATAAAATAAATTCACCAAAGGAGTACATTTGATCTGGCCAGTTTCACGCACTTGTCACGTGCCTCACGTAGCTATGGGACAGACGCATGTGGGACAGGACTGACACACTGTTGGCCTGTCACTGGCTACTCTTTATTGACCCTTTTTGATCCTGATTCATATAATCTTTTAGACTATTCTCTCTCCATCTTAGGCAACTTAGTTCACCATTTCCTAATATAAAGAGCAGGACTTTCAATGACCCAATCCACCATTTTCAGCAAAGGGTCCATGGCAAACTTTTCAAAGAAATGCAAAGTGTCAGTGTTTAATCTGCTTCTCATGGAGGCAAAAACGTATGAACTAGGCTACAGTGCACCCTTTTGCATCCCTGAGCAGACCCTAGCCAAAGGGAGCATTGTGCAACTTTTCCAGGGTGTCATCCATGTTCTTGTTTCCATGGAGATGTTTTGCTTAAAATGCAAGGTGCTACTACAGCGTTAAATCTATCCAGCATTTATTTAACTGTTACCACTGCTCAAAAAGATAAGTGGATATATTTTTTTATTCCATGCTGTGACACATATCATGGAGACAAGCAAGTTCCAGACCATTCAGTACAGTTGAAAAGTTACATAGTGCAGATTTAAGCAACAATAATTCATAGTGTCTCACACTTTGGTTAAGTTTTCCGCAGCTGGATATCAGGAACATCAATGGCTGAGGACACAGATATCAGTGTACCTTTCCCATGCAAATTGTGAGATTTGATTTAGATTAAATATTGTAAAAGAATAGACATTTGTAGCCTACAATACAAACACCTGCCCTTAAGAGGTTGGGTCTCTTATGAATACAGTAGTATGGTTATGATTTCTAGACCACATGATGAACAATAGCTTGGGACTGCAGGTGTATGACCCCAAAGGAAAAGGGACTGGAGAGAGGAAGAGACATGGACACGTCACAGGCACAGCTTAGGTTGGCACTGGGTCTGTCTTACACATGGTCTGGACTGACTGGCCTCACACTGCAGTTATGAAGCAGGATGGACACAGATAGAGGCACATTTATTGAATTCACGACATCAATGCTCTTGGGTCGTATTTTACAGGCGGAGTGGTCGCTAAAGGGGCGGGGACGTGTTCTTGCGTTGTCCTGTGTCCTACATGCAGAGCGCGCATGCAGGTCCCACACATCCTGGTACTTTGCGCGTTGTCAAGGCAGCCTCAGAGCGAGACTGGCTGGCGGAAAGTAGCTGCAGTGTCCTGGCTGAATACATGTCCACAACCCGCTAGAAAAAAACTGTCCCGGGAAGTTAGGGCTAACTAAAGGTAACGAATGTGCATGCTTTCTACTAAGTCTTCTACGGTCACGTTATAGGGCTGTTCTGTCGGGGTTTGGTGCTCCTTGTGGCAGACGCCGTCCGTGTGGACAACGAGACGAAGCTTCTGTCCATTGTGCCTCTACATGAGACAACGCGTTACGCACGTTTTACGCACAAAAATTGTATGTTTTGTACTAACATTTTGCTAAATGTGCATCTATGAGGTTTCGAAACAGCTTCTGTGATCAAAATGAGTCGGAATAAACAATACAATTGCTAGCAACACAAATTTGTGGGAGAAGGGGACAGATTTAAAGGGACAGTGTTGTGCTTCTTCCTTCCTGGACTGCAACTGAACGGAACCACTGTGCTCTCTGTTACGGACTCTGAGTAAAATGGAAAATGCTACCCTCATTCACAATTTTATTATTGCCAGCTACTATAACAGCTGTACTACAGATGTGAGGTTTGTTATTGGAAATCTGGGACACTAAAAGGCGTTGGTTTAACTGGTATTGTCTTCTAAATTTGCATTTGGGTGTCTATTCATTAAATAAAAAGGAAAAGCGAAAGATACTTATAGTTTTAAAAATGTTTGTGCAGTGCATAATGCCTAATTCAGTGTGGCATTTGTTTTTATTCATGGTACTTTCATCTCTGTAATGCTTCTTTTGCTTTGTTTCAGGTCACTGATGCTATGACTGTGAGATCCAGCCCCGAAGGACTAGTGGGGGACTTTCTACTTTTGGATTTATGGCACGAAGCGACCCTAGCTGGAAAAGTACAAGCTTGCAGCCTTAGCGGAACCTATGGGTTGTTCACGCTGGATGAAGAATGCTCACAGTAAAAAGTAAAGGCAATTCTACGGGACAGCGCTACATACCTGTCTCAGAGTTTGACGATGCTACATTGGCACAGAAGAGAGAGTACTGGAGGAATAAGAAGAGGGAGCAGAGGGCAAGGCGGTCCGAGAAGAGACAAACAACCCCTAAACCAAATCCAAACTCACAAGCCCCTGCGTCTTCCTTTCCGTTGCAAGATAAAAATGGATCCAATGTAGCAGCAAATAATGTTGGCTCTTTGCAGAACAGAAACATCAGAACAGAAACATCAAGTGATTTTGCTGCCCTTCATTGTCAAAAACAACAACTGCATCTCAGCCCATCCGCCAATACAAGCAAAATGGTAGTAAAGTGCATGACACCAGAAAACACAACTGTCAATTCGATGTTGATCAGTCAACTCAACAGCAACACTTCAGTACCTCCATTTACCAAAAGTCATTCTTTCCAGCCGTATGTCCCTGTCCACGGCTCGCTTGTCCCAAAAACTAGCCAGAATTCTTCTATCCCCGTCTTCATTCAGCCCAAACCTACAACTAATATCGCAGTTGTGTCTTCGCCCTGTAGTACGAAAAGCACACTCCAATTAGGAAAAAAGAGTGCCTTGGTCATTCAGCAAAAGCCTATTAATGCTAACATCTCACCAGCTAAAGTGGAGACTGAGGAGGAGAAAGCGGCCAAACGCAGGGAACTGTGGCGGGTCAGGAAGAGGGAGCAACGGGAGAGGCTCGCGGCACGACTTGGCAAAACGAAAAACAGAGCACAAAATGATCAAAAGCAACACTCAAGTAATGGCGCTTCAATGCATATTCTATCTCAAAGTTTGCTACAATCTGGATCATTGATGAAAACCCAAAATCTACAACCAACCAACATGACACCTTCCATTCAGAGTGCACCCCCATTGGTTGTTGTGAAGAGGCCATTCGAACCAATCAGAAAAGGTTTGAACCCCTTTCATCTGTCTGGAGTAATGAGAGCACGATGTCCAACACCAAGACAGAGGCTTTTGAAGTTGAAATCTCCATCATTGTCCTACCTCTCTGGAAGCAAAGGCCTCCCTCCAATTGACCCCAGTGATACCCCCGAACAAGTCATAGCCAAAAGACGAGAGTACTGGCGGGTGAAAAAGAGGGAACAGCGTGCCAAATTGTCAGTAGATGTCAAACTGAGGTTGAAGGAGAAGGGCGATTTTCAGCGCAGGGTAAAACGCTACCATAAAATTCTGGAGGACATGAGGAAGGCAAGGTCCCAGGCGATTATGCATGCGTCTGAGACCATCGGGGGCTTTATCAAAGAGGACGGGACGGTCACCATTAACATTCCACAAGTTACTGTGAATTACAGCATGCCAGCACAAAGAAGAGAGCAGGTGGATAATATTGACGCGTATAGCACACAACCACAGACAAGTAAACATCTTCAATCACTTCTGCCCCACCCTCCTCTGGTAAAAACTTATAATTCACCTTTAGGACATCAACCTAGCAAATCTCGCAAAATACTGACAGATAAATCTCAAACTATAGGTTGTAGCAGTTCACAAATTGTACCTATTCAAGCGCAAGCATCACACCTTACTTTAACTCCAGCATCTCTAAACCCTGGATCAACAACAGGGGGGTGTGTCATGAAGATGGCTGTGTCATGCAAAGCCCCATCTCCAGTCAAAGCCTATCTCGATCCTTCACTGACGGAGGAGGAGAGGATGGCAAAGAGGAGGGAGTACTGGAGGGTGAAGAAGAGGGAGCAACGAGCTTCCCGGGCCATACGGTTAAGGCAAAGCCACTCACAAGTTAGAGCTAGTGCAGTTTTACTCAAGAGGAAAGCACAAAGGCATGTTGCCGCCGTGCCACTGAGCAAAAGGCATCCAAAACAGTCAGGAAGCATCACAAATAATATGGCTTATGTAAATGAGATGAAACAAGTGAACGAATCAATGCCAGCAGTTGACCTAAATTTGAATCAAGCCATCTGTCCAGAGCTCAAACCCCCAGTGTCCCGGACGCCACCCCCAGCCCAGGCCGATCCTGACCCAGCTTTGAGTGCAGATAACCAGGCTACCACTCTGCTGGCAGTGGCCTCCATGAAGAAACTCCTGGAGGAATCACTAAGCAGTGTTTCTGAGTGTAAACCTGAGACTGGAATTAAAATGGAGACTGAAGAGGAGAAAGTGGAGCAGGACACGAAGCCAGATTTGTCGCAGGACGATGTTTGCGCGCCAGTTACTGCTGATGTAATGTTGCAAACAGAAAGCAGTCAAACAGACACAAAAATGATTGAGCGTGTACCATTTGAGCAAAAAGACATGTTCCAAATAACCCCTTCTACAATCCCATATAGTGCTCCTGACAACACGACTGACACCTCTTCTTTCATTGTTAATCCCAGAATAGAGGCATCTGAATGTCCCCAGCGCCGTACACAACGCACTAAAAAAACAGGCCATCAACACTGCTGCTCTCCTGGGCCCCCCAAACTACACCATCCTCCCATTGAAACACAAGCAGAGACTCAAGACCAAAACCACCACAGGGAAAAGTGTCCACAAGAGATGCCCTTGGAGCAGAAGAGGGAATACTGGAAACTGATGAAGAGGCAGCAAAGGGCCCGGCTGAAGGCCAGGCAGAGGAGCAGCAGCAATGTGACATCCTGCAGGAGTGTTCAGGTAACATGCACAATAGTTAGATTTGTAAAACAAATAGTAACAATTACCATATTGTAGTTATTAGACATTATTGTGATACTTCCTTATATGTATTTATAACACAGAAGAATATTGCAAAATCAATATCATAGTCAAAATGATAACTGCTCTATTTAAAACAGATGTATCTATCATTTCCTAGATAAAGGCTAAACTATGATCACATAATATTAATGTACCATTACAAAATACATTTTTCATGTTTGAATTTGTTGCCATGTATTTCTCTACTGAGTCAGTTAAAGTCTGAAAAATGCCTTACCAGTTAGTCCCCCATTGAACGTGCAAATGAGCTCTGGTATTTGACACTAAGCAGCAAAAATAGAGGCTCAGAGAGGTTCACTTACATGATGAGCACCACAGCTTTATTTCTCTTAGTCCTGCACAGGGGACATGAGCGGAGACAGGGGAGGACAGTAGAGATAAGGAAAGACACATGTAGACAAACAAAAAGAGGTGACAGAAGGACAGAGGGGTGGGACAGTTGAAGTCAGGATGATAATGTTGTTTATCTTGATATTAACACAACTTTTCCTCCTTCAGTCTTCAGGTTGTGTGTTAAACAAGAACTCAGCAATTAGACCAGCGCTCCTGCCCAAGTTATCTACACAGACTGGGACTGCAGCACCCGGCATGCCCACTGTCCTTTTGGTTAGCCCTACAGTGGCTAATGCGGGCCCACAGGGCACTCTGAGAGTCAAGTCACCAGTGTGCAGCAGAGACACTGACACTGGCTCTAGGAGAGGGAATGAAAACATAAATGTAAACACTTCAGTTCTTCCTACATTGAAGCCCCCTGACAACCCACTATCCAGCATGAATATGCAACCCATTGAGCCCCCAAGTCAAAACTTCAACCGTACTTTGAGATCCATAACTATCCCATGTCCACCAAAACAAAACAATCCACAAAATATAGTCTCCCGGTCGATCGGCACCATTACCCCGCCCAAACGTATTCCCGGGGAATCTGAGGAGGATTTCCAGAAGAGGAAGAGAGAATACTGGAGGATCAAGAAAAAGGAGCAGAGAGCCAGAAAGGCCTTTCATGACAAGGACAAAGCCCCTGACCCCAGCTGCTCCCCACACATGTCCCAGTACATGCCACAGGACCCCCTGCCAGACCAATGTGAACAGGTAAAACACCAGAGTAAAGTTTGAACATTTTAAACATGCATTTTCACACATCACAGATCCTGCCATTAATACTATTTATACTTCATTTGTAGGAATCAAATGAGTGGTTGAGCCCATCTGTGGAACCAGAAGACTTAATGAAGTAGGTGCAGTGTATAGTCTTAAGTGATGACAAATTAATCAGATTACATGTCTGATTGTACGAGGTGGCAGTAGCTCAAATCTTGGTCTTGACACAAGATGAATGGCCCCAGTGTCTGCGTACACTGGTGTATGAATGTGTGTGTGTGTGTGTGTGAGTGGTTCTTTGCTGTAAAGCGCTTTTAGTGCCTTGAAGATGGAAAAGTGCTATATATAAATGTGACCATTTACCATTTACTTTACAGCAATGCTGCTGGGTCTGATGTAGGCTCCTTCCAATTCCCAAATTACTCAGTGCCAATAGGTGAAAAAATATTCAGTTCTATATTTAGAAGTATGGTGGTCCACCTACACTATAATGACAATTGTTTGTTATTCAGATGGCGTTTTCACTGACTATGAGAGCCCGAGCGGTGAGGAGGGTGCTCTGTCAGGAGACTTCTGGAGGAACCACTACCTCATGGATCATGACCCGCTGAACCAGCTCCTGGTGTGCATGGTGTGTGGGGAGCTGCAGTACGTCCACAGTGTGGAGGGGGTCCGGGGGCACATCGAGGAGGCCCACCCCCACACTTTGAGTCTGGACTCTGGGGAGAGGCACAGGATCCTGCAGGCCTGGGACGAGCAGGTGTTCCACAGGGAGCGCTTCTTCACCAACCAGCTCCAGCAGCACAGCGCATCCATGACAGGTGGGTCAAGCTAACTGGGTCAGAGCCAAAACATACGACAAAGGCTTCCAGTTGCTTTTATGGCACCAAACTGCAGTTCTGTTTCAGCCTTTGGTTTGACTCCCCACCTCACTTGCATTTTGTAGCTTATCAGATAATTGCATTTTTCTGTATGTTGATGGTGGCCATTATGTGTCCGAAGGCGCTGCTTACAAATGTATAATTCGTCTGTGTATAACCAATTTCAAATTAAATTAACACCAAAATATATATTCAAAACACTAATAATTTATTTTTCCAAATTCCTGTGTTTTTATTTTTTGCAGAAGCACACATGAACTGATTGAAATCAGAGAAGACCCAAGTCCAGGGCCCATTGTCTTATTTATTAATAATCTATAGAAATGTATCACTTATTAGTGTTGTGAGTTCTTGTAATGGGGTTATACATACTATTTATTTTGCACCTTAATTTTAATCACATAATTTAGCCATGTCAAAATAAACCTCAGTACAAATCAGTTTGGTCTATGCCTACTACAAACTATTATATTTATTTTAAGATGTAAACCAAGGGTTATTCATCGGGTTGCTGTATTATTAAGTATTCACTTTATTGCAGTAGTGACATGTTCTATTTGCAGTAATCCATTATAACATTCCAAATGCTGATGTTAAATGACATTTTTGCTGTGATGTGAAGGCTGCTCTTTTTTCTTGAGGTTTTTTACTGGGACAGTCCGCACCAATGCCAGCAATGAAAACAAATGCACAACACAATAGACACTACACGTTTTTATGTCATTTTTACTGCACTACATACAGGAAAACAATGAAGAGATTCAATTTTTGTAGCCATTCTGAAAGGTCAATACAGTTTTGATTAAAAAAAAACAACTTTTGTAACTTGGTAAATATAGTTATCTTCACTATGTGACAATGTGAAAAGACAAACACTATTATTTGTGCTCATCCCATGCCAAATGTGTTTTTCTTTTGCTATTTATTATTTATTGAGTCTCATCTTGTGTAGCGGAAAATAATACAGATCAAACATTTTGTCTTACTCTAGATCATTAAATCATTTGTGAGTATGTGGCATCCAAAGGCTTTCTTGCATGATTTAGTTGTTGTGTGTTAGAGGGGTACTGTTGGATTAGTATTGTTTTGCTTTTAAATGTTCAGGAAAAAAAGACTGGAATGGTAATAGTTTGAGCACAAAGCATTGAACATGCATACTTTAAGAACCTGAAAAGCCACATAAAAGGTGTCAGCATTTGAATTCTGTTCGATGCCTCAGAATGTACTTATGTCTTGTAAAAAAGGAATGTGTGATGCCTTTTCAAAATAAACCTTTGTACTGAAATATCTTTTTTTGTTTATCATTTCATGTTTAGATTTTATTGGTACTCCCACTTCATGGTCTTCTTGTGCTCTCAATGATATAAAATGGCTCTAAAGTTCTCTTTGCACACAATTTAATTGATAGCTCAGATGACTGATTGGTAATTATCTGTCTCAATCTTCACCGAGAGCATGGAATATCAAAAGATGTTAACATATGACAACTCTAACAGCCTTTACACCCAAAAAATCTTTTTATCTTAACTATTTCTTTGAGACAAATAGTCCAAAATAAAGTCATGTTAAATAGACTTTATGTACTGTGGCATCAATGAAAAAGTGGGACACTCTCTAAGTGGGACAAGGAACAGGAGCTAAGTTCAGCCACAAGAATAAAACAAATCCTACAGTTAATTTAAAGACATAATATAATGAACAATTCAAAGTGACATAAGAAAAACCTCCACACTCAATGACATCACATAATTTATTGTTTAGACAATAACATTTACAATTGTCTGTTTCTGAAAATGAGCCTATTCATATTCTGACACTACTGCTTTCTTATGGTTGCATATTGTACCAGTGCAATATTATCATTGAATGAATAGAATTTACTCCAGTATAATAAAGTGATCTGCTGCGGTTACCAGTCCCGTTTCACTGATTCATACTACGCCTCCTCTGTGGTTCTTCTTCTACTTCCTCTGCTGTGCGCTCCTCAGTTTCTGGGTTAGAATCTTGATGCCCCTGGTCTGGACCTGGTTGTGAATCTGGAGATACCTGCAGTTCCCGAGAGCCAGAGTCCAGTCGGAAAAGTGTTGGGATCTGACCCAAAATAGGGTTAGTCTCCTGGAGGCCGGATATCCACTGATTTAGAGTAGCTTGGTCTCCCTGGTTTGTCATGCACATGGCGAAGACGGGCCCCTCATCCACTACACAAAACAAAAAGTTATTACCTTTACAGTTATTGAATTCTTCACGGTCATAAAAAATGTCTTACAGTCTTCCACGTCAAAGTTCTCCTCATCCCCAAGGTCCCGATCCAAATCCAGGTTGAGCTGCAGTGGATAGTAAAAACACCTTTCTGGATCATAGGGCTCCTCCACCTGAGAATCAGACACAAAGCTATAAAAGCACTCTGTCTTCACAACCGCACGCAGAAGTAAATTATTGTGAGCATATTATATCTTGCATATGGGCTGCAAACTTCAAAAAGCTCTAATGTTCCATTTTCCATCACATTCTAGGTACATTTGTAAGTAATTTGAAAGGCGAAAGACGTTTTTTGCATATAAGTTCCCTTTATACATTAACAATAACAGCCTCTCCTGCTTCTTGATGATCTGTTTTAGCAATATTCAGTCTTACCTTTTCTTCCGGCGGGATGGGATCTGCTCGTAGTATGTAGTAATACACGCATGTCTTTCTCAACCATAAGGGAAAAGGACCTTCAACAAAAACAGGTCTTTTGGGGTTGTGCTTGGCCAGTAGGTCTATTTGACTGGGACTCTGAATACCTGCAGGACACACACTATTATAATGTATCAAACAGTAAACAAAAAAAAACAATGCAAAAATAACAGGTTGCTTACCTACAATATGTGGCAAAGTTATTTCTTGTCCACTCTCAGTCACGTCTGTAAAGGGCATCTACAATAAAAAACATCTTAGTAATTTTGAAATCAACTTTCTTCTTTTCAAGTCTTCTAAATTTTACCTGGTAGACAGTTAATGTGGCGTCTAGGTCATCAGCGATGCGTTTGAGGGTGAACTTGGCCAGATCTACGGGGTCCTCTGGCAGCTGGAAGGGGACAGGGTACGGGTTCATATACTTGAATTTGGGGAACCAGTACATGAGGCGCTGGTATTTTCTCATGGGGTGGCCTTTTGGTCCAAAGATCTGCAGCAAAAGGACCTTAGTCTCAACATTAGGCATGACTCCTGAAACAAAAAGGAAGAAACATGAGAAAAAACACAAAACAAACTATGATTTTATTTAGGTCAGCTTTTTCAGTTACACAGTGGGGCTCTCAATAGAATATAAATAAAATCTAAACACACTAAGAGGCATTTACAAGCCAGCTAACTGACCCACTCCTTACAAGCCTGGATCAATCCATGAATTCAAGTTTCTTTCAACTGATTATTGTATTAAAAATAATATTAAATGACTTTCTCTCTTACCATAGTTTTCCATTTGCTCCAAAAGCTGCACTCCACACTCCTGTTGCCGAGGATAGTGGTTAAACATTGTCTGAATGAAATTCCTTGGGACAAATACTTCTTTAGGGAACACGTCCAGTAGCTTGTTATAGACCGTGATATCTCTCTCTACTCCAAACTCCGGCATCTTCTTCAGTGCAGCATAGATAAACTCCACATGTCCCCGTCTCCTCACGTCTTGCTTGGTGAAAACGTCCACAACTCTGTTAAATGTGGCTTTAGTTTTGTTTTTTTTGGCCACGCGTTCAAATAGGTCATCTTGGACTTTAGGCTTCTTGTTCTTTTCTTTGTCTTCAATAAATTCTACAGGAGCTGTGGGTCGACTTTCCAGGATGACTGGACTTTGATGGAAATGCCTCAACTTCTGCAAAAAAAAAAAAAAGTTGTCATGAGATTTGGTCAAATCCACCAGTAGGTACACCTTATAGAATTCATTGGGTTATTCCACCTTGTCAATGCCCTGTCTCATCTGATCTCAAAGGCTAAGCAAAGTTGGGCCTGGTTAGTATTGGTGGCCGATGGAGTAGCAGTGGCTCTAGTCTAGTGCATAATATTGTGTTCTTAGGCAAGACACTTCGCCCACCTATTATGTGTCTGGTGCAGTTGTGAGTAATTGGTGGTAGTGAAAGAAGCTGATTTTTATAGATTACTAGCCTCGTTCTATTACTAAGCACCAGACTGCAACAGACTATAGAGGGACAGAGGAGTTTGTTATGCTCAAACAGTGAGAGATACTGGACTACATTCACACCATAATCCATACAACTGTACAACAAATCACCCTTATGTAACAGATAACCCTGTGCCCTGTCAATCATCATATCATTGTTGACCTGTATTCCTATGACCTCTTGTATAAAGCTGAGATTTTACATTTTATTTCTTATTTTTCCATTTTATTTTGACTTGTACATACACTACTGATCAAAAGTTTTAGAACACCACACTTTTTCCAATTTTTTACTGTTTACTGTTGACCAAAATGTTTTCTAAACTTTTGATTCATGAAAGTGTCCACCTTTGGCAGATATAACAGCTGAACACACTCATGGCTCGTTCTTTTTACAATAGAAATCAAATATTCTTCAAAAAGTTCTTCCCAAGTCTGTTGCAGAAGTTTCCATAAATGTGTGGCACTTGTAGGTTTTTTGACTTTCACTCTTCTGTCCAGTTCATCCCAAAACCAGCTCGATGGGGTTTAAGTCTGGAGACTGTGCTGGACACTCCATGTTTTCAAGTTTCAAGTTTAAGTCTTGTTCTTATTTCCTGAGGTAGTTTTGGCAGAGCTTGGACTTGTGTTTTGTATCTTTTATCTTTTTTTTAACCTCTGGGTGTTCAGTTCTTACCTTTGTGCCATTTTAAGCTCTTCATTGGACTTGAACGACTTGTATTGCAATAAAAAACTGGAAAAACTTTTGACCTGTAGTGTATACATTTACATAATTATGTCTTATTTGCCACCTGTCTCTTGCTTTATCTTGCTCTATCTTTTTTGCTACTTATTTAGAATTTATTATTACCATTTATACGTTTTCTCGTTGTTATTATATTATATTGTGATGTGTGAGCTCCTGTGTCCACATAATTTCCCTTGTGGCCAATAAAGTTTGTCTAAGTCTAAGAAAGACTCAGTTTAGATGACAGTAAAATGTTGTATTATCATGATGGAGTTGTATTACCTGTGTTGGTGGCTGGCTGGGCTGGAGGGGCTGTACTCGGGCCACAGAAATGGACGGTCCAATCCCTCTGAGGTTCTGCAGCTGGAGCAGGCAGCGGGCACACTTCATGGTCCAGAACAAGTACAAATATCTGGACAAATATCTGTACAATTATCTGCTATGCCCGTGTAATTATGCTGCTATACTGACAGACAAAGCACTTTTCATCGCACACAACACCACCTGCAAACTAGTTAACAAAACGTATTTATCTTCACAAATCAATCCTTTAAAATACAGTCAGAAGAATTTAGTCTCCTTCACAAAACTCTCCTTCAGGACGGATCCATGTTGAAAAGCCGGTGATATCCGGGTGCTACACTATTTTCCTTCCCCAGACAGCAAGACAGCTATGGTTTATGGTTCCGCATGTAATAATACAGCTTTAAAAATTACTTTACAAAATACCAGAGAGCTTCTTATATTAGTTTTGTTTTCAAGAAATTGAGTAAATATAAAAGCCTTAGATGGGGAACAGTTAGATAGCTATGAAACATTTACGCAATTATTATCCATCTATTAGCGCATAAAGATAGGCTTCAAAATGTGTACATTTATTTTATTTAATTTGGTCAGATTTGACTTATTAATCACAATACATAGAATTCAGAAATCCCTTGGCGAGCTACTTGGAAGGGGACGGGGGGCTACAGATTGAAAACGTTTCTTTATATACATATGCAAATATAAAATTTATTCAGCGCTTTCAATGTTTTAAGTGTTTATTTTATTTTATTTTTTGTTTTGTTTTGTTTTTGTTGCAATAGGGCATGTACCAGAAAGGTAACTGAATAGATTGCGCAATTGGTCAGTATTTAAAGGAAATTGTTAAAATATAATTCTTAGGAAGCATATCTCAATTATTGTTTTTATCGTATTGTATATTGTCCTACAAACTTTACAAACCTATTTTACTTTACAAATAGGTAGAACTTCGAGACTGTTTCGACACCGTTTTAATAAAGTACTGCGCTGCATCGCCACAAGATGGCAACAAAGCAACAATAACAAAGTTTTGAAATCGCCTTTCCTAAAATATTTCCTACAGTTAAATTTGCATTATAAGATTTTAGTTTCATGAATTGCAACTGAATGCATTAAAGTATTCTCATATATACTTAAACTTGTTAAAATTTCAAGTTAATAAAGTGCAGTGGAGTTCCGGAGATGACCAAATGACATCCCACCTTGCGCTTTTCGCCAAGCGTGCGCGCTCGTAGGTCACTCCCTCTTGCGGCTTCACGTCTGCGTAATGCTCCCGGTGAACGCACCACGCACCAGGATGACTTGAGGGGGTTTGTCCGTCTCTCAAAGTGTGCCTTTAATTACAGGAGGGCGAGAGTTTTCCGTACGGAGCGGCTTGTCTTATTGAATGTGGCGTCTTGACAGAAGCGTGTAAAGCGTGTGACACTCCTCTCTCAGCATGGAAAACACACCGCAGGACAGCGTATTTATGTAAACCCACTTTTAATCTTGGGATATGGACTCTTCTACGAACAGCCTGGGTGAGTTTACATGTTGTCCATCTCTTCGATTGTGTCAAATGTGCAACTTGAGTAAGATAAAAGACTTTAGGAGTTGTTTTAAGTTGTTGTAAGAGCAGCAAAAGCCCAGTGAGATAATGCAAGGTTGGGCTTTGAGTAATAGTTTTATTGGCAAATGCATGCTGATCTCAATTGCATGCTGTGCGGTTTCAGTGGAGTCTTTAATTAAAAACATTTAGCTCACATCAATGAATTCATTTTGGCACAACGGAATGGCAGCTTCTCATTCGGAGTAGTATATGTAACACAGGATAGTGTTCATTGCAAACCTTTCTCCAGAGTCTCAGTTGGGGGTAGAGGAGCAGGTCTGTAAACAGTTGCTGTATTTGTGTTTTCTCATCGCAGCTTCCCTCTCTTTGGGCCCAGGATTTCTCCCTGTAAGAGCAGCTGCCTGTAAGGAGCCATGCCTAAACTGCACACTATCAGTCAGATCTTTTGCACACTTTCACAAACTAAATACTTAAGAATGTAATTAATGGCAGCCCACTCAAAGCAAATAGGAGCAGTGTGAAATGTTTGACTGAAAGTGTGCCAGTGAAGTGTTCCGCACAACCAGCACATACCAAAGTACATTTTACTAGCTCATATCAACATGCATTATTATTTTATAACTATAGAATGACAAAGTTTAATCAGATATCCTGTGGTTATTGTGTCGTGTGCATGCAATCACAGTGTACTTTTAACTATATGAGGAAGATATGAAGATATCTTTTTGCAAGCATGCAGCAAAAATATGCTTCCCCACCCGCTCCTCCACCCCCACATTTCGGCTTGTTTTATTGAAGCCAGTTGCACAATGTTGCTTTTGTTGCTTTTCTACAGGCTGTTCTGTCCCACCTTCTGTGCTGATGTTGTGTTTACTTGTCTTGTAAAGCCATGGAGCGGTGGGACATTGGGGAACAGTAAATATCACCGGGAGAGGGAGGGGAACTGGTAGCAGCATCTGTGGACCTGGCTGTAACACATTACATTGGGCTTTAGGAGGCATGCCCGGAAACTCACTGCTGTTCCCATGTGCCTCTTTAATGGAGTCATGGTAATCAAAGTCATTACATGTAATTATGAGCCCCACTTGTGTTTACAGGTGATGATGTGATTGTCTGTAGTCGTAAGTGATACCCTCTGGGCTTGCACACTGGTGGTCCAAACACGGCTCTGCAGATTTATTTTATTATTATTTTATCTCTTGACATGATTGTCAGCACAGGCTATTTGGCAGCAATAACATGCACTTTTTGTACTTAATGCATACTTCAGAAGTGTAAAGGCAGTGAATAATTATGTATTATATTGATGATTAGGGTTGGGTATCATTCAGAAGTTGCCGATAAGTTACATACCTTGCCACAATACGATACATATCTCGATACAGTGAGCTTTCGATTCGATACATTTCAATACGATATATACGGTTCAATAAAAATAATGGCTAAATCATGTCTCTGATACTAAAAGTTAAACCACGTCTTGTGCAAAGTTCATATGAAACACACACATTTTAAATCTTCAAAACAGTAAAAATGTCAAATGTGTTGCATAAATGAGTTTCCTTCCACTACAAGCATCAAGCTTGTAGCGCTGTAAAAAAATCATTTAGTAAAATCTACTAGGGATGTAACAATAACCGAAATATCGTGATATTGTATCGTCAAAGTTCTCACAATAATATCGTGGACCATCACAATATATCGAATTACAAGTCTCTTTGCTTAAATTATGTTGCAGCAATAGCTAAAAATGACAGAGGGAACTACATAGACCATGATCCTTTGCTCCATTTCAGTGTAGACTACAAGAAGAAATAACAGTTCTAAGCACTTTTAAGTCTTAATTCTTAATTCTTAAGTCTTGTCAAGGCTTTTTAAGAGGAAAAAGTAGCATATTCACAGTTTGTTCGCCTCCACACAATATTGCAATAAATATCGTACGGTGAGATGTATCGTGAAAATATCGTACCGACAAATTTGGATATTGTTACATCCCTAATCGTGAGCCTCCCCACCATATCGTGAGCTTTTTCACAATAAATATCGTACCGTGATGATAATGAATTGTGAGACTTAGATATCATTACATCCCTAAAATATACCAAAAAATATTCTTGGCGATATATCGATACAGCAGCCCACAATACTGATACTCTATCAGCACATTAAACCATATGATATATCAGTATTTCAGTATTTTTGCACACTCCTATTGATGACTGTAATAGTGTTTTGATAGACTCATCTTTCCCCAGGACATGGTCATATATTTGCTGTCAGTTTGAAACTCACTGAACGCTCCCCATGTGACAAGGATTCTTTAGAAGCAACTAATGACAACATGTTGACAGAAAAATGTCAAGATCAAATAGACATACTTGTCACAGAGGCCAATATGCTTTTGTCGCAGGAATCACATATCAGCATGTGGTAAACGAGTCAGTGAGTCAAAAACGGCTTCCTTTAATTATTGGCTCATTTGGAGTGGATTTAATGCAAATTGTACGTTACAGGCTTATCATTGTCATAGGCGTATCATACTCATTCCATGTTGTGGTTTGTAAAAAGAGTGGTGTTTGATAAAGCTTGCCAGCCAGATGTTTCTCATAAAGAGTTATTTGTGCTTCACAGGCAGGAAAACAAAATAGTGGATCTTTAAATGAAATCACTGCACTTCTGTTTGCGTCCTCAAGTGAACTCCAGTCTTGTGCAGGAGCTTTATAAACCCCTCATTCATGGCATTCAAGAATCTGTTTTCTCAATATAATGTATCCTGTGATGCGCGTGGATGGCATCACGGTAAATCCTCAGGCGTTTGCTGTACGGATAGAAAGTAAATCTCTGGAAATTGTGTTGCGGTTTTGCTAAATGTTTTGTTGCATTGACTTCCACCTGTTTAAATAAAACTCTCGACTGTTTTTCATTTTTAGCACGGTACAAATACATAAATGACATGTTTTGCAGGTGTACAGCGAGGGTCGAAAGAGGTAGACTACTAGACAGTACTTTGTCATCTAGAGTCAGTGTCTGTTAATAACATGACCCATCATCTGGTAAATCGCTCTTGTGTATTTGTCAAACATGCACCTTGACAACAGTAAAAGCAAAAAAATAGCATCTCTTACTGCTGGACTTGGCTGGTTCTTTTAAAAAAATACAAACTTGTGAACAAATCAATAACTCAATAGCCTATGTGTAGTGATTTACTTCAGGCATGGTCTTGCATTTTATTCCTGTCTTTTATATATATATATATATATATGAACTCCTGCCAATGGAAACCATCTCCAGTCTTCATGATGGGTATTTTTAGATGGTTTTATCCGTTAAGATGAGCGCATTTAACAGGAATACCACAAGCTCTCAGTCTGTGTTTACAGTCTGCTAATTTAGGAGACTGAGTCCAACCAAATGTTTATTGCATTTTTTTCTGGTATGCATCAAATCAATAGTAGTTGACAGCGCAGGATGATGTGCATTATATCTAGTGTACAAGGAACAGCTGTATTTTTTCCCACTTTCCTGGTATATTTTAAAGGTGCATTGTGTAACTTTTCTGGTGGAGGGTCCATCAGATGCTTTTCTTCATGGAGATCCTATTACTCTGCCTTGAATGTTTCACAGTATGGCATCATTTTTTTCTATCTTCATGGAGCCCAAACCAGATCAAATTACAGGTCAGATCTGTGAAAAGACAACCCTACTCATGATCAGAATGCCTTTTTTTCTAGGTATTTTTGAGCTATAAATCCTGTAATTGAATAAATGTAAGATAGAGCTGTTTAATGTCATACTGTGGAACACTCCAGGCAGAGCAGTTACCAACCAAAGTGGCAGTTTTATTAAGTTTTAACAAGCCAATATAAAATCTAATTGAAAACTGGGATCCATCAATAATACTCAGCACTTTGCTCTGTTCTGTTCTCTATTTTATCTCTATTTACTCATTTGCATATCTTCAAACAACTATAGTGATATATTAAACTACAACTTTTATTCATAATTTTTGCTTTTCATTGAGCTAGGTAAATTCTTCACAGTTTTCTGATCATGCTTAAAGCCTCATTTGCCTACTGCAGCCGCCCACTGGTGGTTGAGCGTGGTTTCATGTGGTGAATGATACTGGTGCATGTATTGCCTCTCAGGGCTCGCTCTATTTCTCTCTCAGATACTTCAGTCTTCACACGGGACATCTGAGACATGGTGCAGGGGCGGACAGGATGTCAGGGCGAACAGTCTATAAGAGATACAACAATGAGTGGAGAGAGAGAGAGACAATAATACACTACAGGTGGCTCAGGTCATTGCAATATTAGTCATTACTCAAAACAAAAATATCAATACCTCGATACTAATCAATACAAAAGCTCGTATCAAAACTAGATTCTCAGAAAGTATTTATTTGTAAAATGAATAAATGAATAAATAGGACAAAAAAGAGTGGTTTTATCATTATTGGGGTATGAAAATCAGTATCAAGTATCAAGTCTTCTCCTTAGTATTGAAAACAAGTTTGAAATTTTAGTATCGTGTCAACAATTTTCCATTCAGTTATGTTGGATAAGGACGTCGGCATATTGTATTGATGCGTTGTGTTAAGTAATATGAGCAGTAGTTGTGATTTTTTTCTATTGTTACCAGCACAATGGCTCCAGTCTCCATAGAAAATGAAGTGTAGTCTGACAAGTTGTGTTTAGAAACGGTTGGTTATTCATATAATGCTTAGTTCCATTGAGTAGACTTGATTTGACTGATTGTTTACTAATGATTATTTAAAGTCATAATTGGCTGGCAATGATGATGCATGATTTCCTTCCTACTTATGAACCAGCAGTGCCAGACAGGTTTAATTTCTTGTGAATTTACTAGGATGATAAAACAAGCATGCGACTGTAATAGAGAAAGTACTTCTAACTAGTTACGCATGTTGTAAAAATTGTGGCAGAGAATGAGAATATCACAAATTTGTTT